TTAATAAGGAAGTAGAACCCACAAGCTTTATATCCAAGGTTTGACATTCCTCCCAGCAAATGCCAGTTCCATAATGAACATACACATAACCAATAGAAAGGAAAGCCATTTATCCAAGCTGATTGCAAAACAGAAATCAGAGAAATGTATACACAAGAGAATACGTGCTAGACAACACAGAATGAAGGAGATCCCACTGGGAGTGAGGTAACCTAGCTCGACCGACAGGGTCCCAGATCTCTCACAGAAAAATTACCTCAAGTTTTTCAAGGAGCAACCTGGCCAAGTTCTATATACCAGCTTCTTCCCAGTCTTTTTCTCTTCATGGACCTGAAGAGAGGTTGGCATCACAGATCTTTTCTCTCAAAACTGGAAGCCAGAAGCACTTGAAGAAATTGAAAAGACACACTCTTTTCTCCTACTCTCAGGCAGACTTAGGGCACTGAGATCCACCAATGAGGAGAGGTCCCATACAATGGGCTCCAAAGCTCAGATTACATTCTATGTGATCCTGGAGGTGACAGAGAGCCACTGGAGTTCATTAAGTAGGGGTCTGATGTGGTCGGACCTACTTTAGGAAGATCTCTTTGAAAGCAGAAGAAAGGATAGATTGAAATGGAGAGAGACTTGAGGCAGGGAGACCAACCAGTGATGAAGGCTTGCACCAGGATGGTTGCAGTGTTAGAAATGTGGCATATCAATTTTAAAAGGTTGTTCACCTCTGCCTATGTAAAAGAAAAAGATGACTTATTTCCTTCTCTTTAATCTTGCTTGGAAAAAGAGACATATGTGAAATTATATATGAATATGTACAAAGCAACATTTTAACAAGTGCAAAATACGATCCAAAATACAATATAAACATTACGCACCCACCAGGTACAATTAGGCTTAGGAGAGACAAAGATGAAAGACATAGCCCCTGCCTTCAAGGAGTGTAAAATCTGGTAAGGAATCACTTTTAGAATTCATTATTAAATGAGTCATGAGAGGTACACTCCAGTGGTACAGAATGGCATGAAAATTTTTAGACATCACTGTTAGTTGAGGGGACTATGAAAAGAGTAATGGAGATGGTGATATCTGAGCTGGGCTTTGACAGAAAGAAAAGATTTCAAAAGATGGAGAACATGGGGCTAGGGAGGAGTGGCTACTTCTGGAATGGAAGGATATTATATATATATATGAAAGCCCAGAAAGAGGAAAGGAAAATACATACAGAATAATGAGGGGGAAGGGAGGGAATAAAAAGAATTAGAGTGGAATTGGGATAAATCAGAGAAAATATCCCAGAAAAAATGGCTTTTAGATGTAGGTGATATGGGTAAGAAAGGAAACAAGCATTTAAGTACCAACTATGAGTGAGGTACTATGCTAAAAAACTTACAGATATCTCATTTGATCCTCTGGGAGATAGATACTATTATGATCATCACCATTTTTCATTTGAGAAAACCGAGGCACACAGAGGTTTAGTGATTTGCCCTGGGTCATAAAATTAGGAAGCATCTGAGGCCAGATTTGAACACAGGTCTTCATGACTTCAGGGCAGCTAGGTGGCAGAGTGGATAGAGAGCCCAGCCTTGGAATCAGGAGGACCTGAGTTCAAATGCAGCCTCAGACACTTACTTCCTGTGTGACCCTGGGCAAGTCACTTAACCGTGTTTGTCTCAGTTTCTCATCTGTAAAATGAGCTGGAAGGAAATGACAAACCAACCCAGTATTTTTGCCAAGAAAACTCCAAACAGGGTCACAGAGGATTGGAGTACGACTGAAATGAGTCGTCAACAACTTTCTGACCTCAGACACTCCAGCACCTAGCTGTCTCTAAGTAGAGAAAGTTTACAGGGATAGGGAATAACAGAGACAGAAATCTGTGGGGAGACTAAAGTTGTCATAGGGTGTTAAAGTTATAACAACACATTTCTTAGGTCCTTACTTTCTGAAAAGCTCTTTCCTCACAATGATACTGTGAAGTTAATATTGCCAAGTATTATCCCCATTTTAAAGATGAGGAAACTAAATCTTGGCTTAAGTGAATTGCTCAAAGTCATACAAGTAGGAATTGAACCTGGGTTCACTACAATTCACATTTTTACTTTCTCTCCTATTCTATGGCCTTTCTTTCCCTAGTTTGGATTCACATGCTTCCCCTCTTCAATGCTGAATCTATCACAAACTAGAGTCCATCTATGATTATTTGTGTAAATGGAAGCATGTACACCTGGGTGTAACACCAGATGGAATAGGGCTTTTAATAGTTATCATGGAATATGGATTTGAGTATTTCTGATATTCTGGAAATTCATTACCCTTGATAAGAAAACAACAAAGCCATGCTGAGAAGACCTAACTCACTAGGATCTGTAACATTATTCCACTTCTTCCTCTGCAATCTGTCAGTTGGGTTCACAATTCAGAGAACAAAGACCAAGCCTTACTGTAAGGTTATCTAACTGCAGGAGAAATCAACTTAGTTGACATCTACAAAAAAATGTACATTTGCACGCTCTACCTGTCATTCTGGGTCCCCAGTTTGACTGAGAAATGCACTGCAGGTGAACCTCACATAACTGCTTTGGATCAGGCAATTGGCAAATCTAGATGGCTCACAAATTAAAGAACTAAGTAAGCAAAGGGAGCTGTTGCTCCAATCTAATGGAAGCAAACAGCTGCATTTCAACACTCCAATTAGGCAGAGGTCTGATATGCCCAAGAATGGGGATTGGTAGAATTCCTTTAGAGTCAGGGTTGATACTCAGTCACCCTTCTCAGTCTCTAGACTATTCTAATGAGCATGCATCATTGCGTATACTCTTTATGCTATCTTTGGGATGAAGACCATCTCCTCTCAGAATGATACAAATTACAGAATCACAAGGACCTCAAAGGCCATCTGCTCCAACCTATACTTAAACAAAAATCTTCTCTATGAAATATCTGACAAGATGTCATTTAACTTTTGGCCAAAGATTTCTAATGAAGAGGAACCCCCTATCTTCTTCTGGGCAGCACATCATACTTTTGAACAGCTCGAACTGATAGGAAGCTTTTCCTTACTTCAAGTCTGTTTCAAAACAAACAAACAGGCTCTGAAGGCAATTCCAAAAGGAAAAATACATAGCTTTATCAATCTAAAATGACCTACTGCGCTCGCACATGCGCACACACTCTTTCTCTCTCTCTCTCTCAACTTATTATTAGTTCACACTTTCCCAGGAAGGAAAGTGACAGTTAAATATATAGGCTTAAAAGTCCTCCCCTTCTACCTGGAGGGGGAGGAATTTTTAAGAAGAGTGAATGCATTATACTTTTTATGGATTAAACTTACTCTTTTTTATTTTAAAAGTAAGAAACATCAAAACTTTTTATTGTAAAAGAAACATCAAAAGCAATTAGTTAGCATAGTGGATAAAATTCCAGATCTGGAGTCAGGAAGACTCCTCTCCCTGAGTTCAGATCTGGCCTCAGACACTTACTAGCTATGTGACCCTGAGCCAGTTACTTAACGCTGTTTGCCTCAGTTTCCTCATCTGTAAAATAAGCTAGAGAAGGAAATGGCAAACCACTCCAGTATCTCTGCCAAGATCCCAAATGGAGTCAGAGAATCAGACGCAACTAAAAAATGACCAAACAACAAGAAACATCAACGTGAGTAATTCCCTATACAAAGAACAAAAAGGAGCACTGTAGATAAAACTGTCAATTTGCTATGTAAAGTTTTTAAAAATATATGTATAATATATAAAATTGAACATGGTAGTAATAAGGTTATCCTTTGTATGTTATTTTCCAAGCTTGTTAATTATTCACACGTCTTACTGACATGTCTTTCTTTCTTGGGTAGCTAGGTGGCACAGTGGATAGAGTCCCAGGTCTGGAGTCCCTCAGACAACTCCTAGCTCTATGACCCTGGACAAGTCACTTAACCTCTGTTTGCCTCAGTTTCTTTAACTGTAAAATGAGCAGGGTTGTTGTGAAGATCAAATGAAATAAATTTATAAAGCACTTAGCACAGTTCCTGGCACATAATAGGTGCCATATAAATGCTTATTCCCTCCCTCCCTCCCTCTTTATTTTGCAGAATCCAAGCTTCCTATGAAGGCTGAGGCCCATCTTATCAATACTTCCATTTACTGGTACAACGAGATGTGGAACCTCAATAACTCCAAAGAATGAACTATGGTAATGGAGAGATACATGGGGAAATGTGAATAGGCTGCATCGCTAATCAAGGAGGAACAGAGAAGAACTGGAGCAAAAACATCATCAAGAAATTTTATGATAGTAAAAAAAAGATGGGCTACTCATGTGGCAGGAGCAAACCACAGCATGAGCTAGCATTTATATAGCACTTTAAGTTGTCCAAATTGCTTCACATGTTAGCTCACTTGATCCCCACAACAACTGTGTGAGTTAAGTGCTCTTATTATCTACGTTTTACAGAGAAGGAAACAGGCTAAGAGTAGTTAAGTGACTTGCCCAGGGTCACACTACAGTAAATGTCTGAAGCAGGATTCGAACTCATAGATAACAGGTGGACAGCAGAGGACTTCAGGAGTACTAACTTAAGGAAGGCCCTGAGTATGCTGAGTGGACTCCTTGTGGTGAACTTTTGGGAGAATATTTACAAGGGGAACACAGGATGGGCTGGCACAAATAAGTTACAGTCTGCATCACTGGAGAAAACTCTGAAATTAATGAGATTCCCATTTTTTAAAAAATTCTGAATTTAAAAAACATGAATTAAATGGGTTCTTACACATACACAATTAAGCAAGAGAGTTTACATGAAACTTCAACTGTCTATTACATACAGCTTGTTCTTTTAAAGTATATAATAAATTCACCATGTTACTTTCAAAGCTCTTACTTGTCTGTGATTCCTTCTGGCCTTTGCTATGTTCTCAAGAAAATGAATTAAGAACAAGTTAGGAAGGTCCGAAAGGAACAAGTCTTCTTACAATATTAAACAAATGTTTATTTAAATCTATTGACACTTAAAAGTTATTTATACAAAACACATACTGATCCACATAAATATTAATGGATTATTAAATCAATCCCTTTCCATTCATTAGCAGCTAGAGAGTTTTTAAGAATATTTCAAAGTCCTGCAGTGAGGCTTTAGCAACTTCTTTACAAAATACTTCATCAGGAATAGATACCAGTTTATCCAAAGAGATGTAGTTAGGTTTTTGGGGATCATATTGTGCTCTTCCTAAGTAGGTAAGAAATGAGTGTCTTTCTTTGATTTTTAGCAGCTTTGAATTGAACACCTAGAAAAGAAAAAAAAAAAGACTGAATTATGTCACACCATCTTAGATTCTCAACAGTAATGCTAAGCTTGATTATCCATCCATCTTTTTCAAACTTGGCTCTGACTTTTGGCTATTTAAAAAATCAAACCTGTGCCGAAAGAATGAAGATTTGCCACAAGCATGGATGATTAGCTGAATGTGCCATAGTCCTGAGGGTAACCCCAAAAGAAGAGTTTTTGTTTTCATTTTTCTTTAGCAATTGGTCCTAATGGAATAAGCACATATACTCCTAAATTAACTACTTTGAAAGTGACAACTCTCATCCAAAAGCAGTCACAATTCATCAAGACACATGTTTTTACAGGCATATGTAACAATACATAAAATATATATGTGCACACCTATATTTCAGAATGATTTATATTATTCTAAATGCTTACCATATTTAATATGGAGTATCTAGAAATATCATTCCCAGTGGAGAGAATCCTGAACACATGAGATATTTGGCAAAAACAAAAACAAAAAACAAAATGTTTGCTATGTTGTCCTTCTCAGTTTTCTAGTTTGGTTCTAATCAAAGCCAGTTATCAAAAGACCTAGGTTCCATTCCCACTTCTACCACTTATAAAACGTGTCAATGGGTAAGTCACTTTACCCTCTACGAACCTCAGTTTCATGTAAAATGGAGAGAGTAATATTGGTACCACTTATGTCCCAGGGTGGTTGTCATGAAAGTCCTAAGTAAACTTCAAAGCATGATATAAAAATGGGTTAATAATGTTTGACTTTCAAAATAATTTCCTCACTGAAAGAAAAAAGCTACAATTGTGTAGTCAAATTATTTGGTGAAACAAAAGAACTTTATTTTTTCTAAAGGGTTAAAAAAAACTAATGGAGCATTTTTAAAAATCCCAACACTGGGAAAAGAGCTTGATTTGGAGATCTGGGTTCTTATCTCAGCTCTGCTACTTATGACCTGTGTGACTTTAATAAGTCACTTAAGTGGCCGATTCTCTTCAACTATAAAATGAAGGGACTGGATTAAGTTATCACTAAAGTCCCTTCCAGTTTGAAATCTATGATCTTACAATCATTTTGGCACTGGAGTCTTAAGAACAGTAATAGTCTAATGTCAAAAGTATTTTGTAAGAAGCACAGATTATTCATTAATATTTACTGACTGCCAAGAATTAAATGAAGTAGACATGGAAATAGATACTAGAAATTTAATGCATAGAATTAGAAACTACAAGGCTGTAGATAAAAGCTCATTACACAAAACGCTGAGTTTGAAAAAGAACTAAATTTGCATGGTGGTTTGTGGGAGTAATGACATCTTTTCTTTGGCTACCACACAACTGCTGAAGACAGCGTGCCATTGTCAGCTTTTGTGGTACTGTCAGCTGCAATGAGTTAGGTGAAAATTTGTAATTAAGACTCTAAGGATAACCCACAACACATTGTAAGATCCCACAACTCTACCAGGGAGGAAAAAGAGTAGTACAAACACCACCTTCCATTATTACAAGAAGTCTCTGAGAAATGAATATATCCAAACACTATCAAATTCTGTATGCTTGCAACAAAGTAAAAGACTTCCTCATGTTGGTCAGAGGTATATCTGCACAACCACAACTATGTACTTCCCCAACCCTTAGGACATTTACTATATGTAGAAGGACATTATGGAAAAAACAGCTTGAAAGAAATTTCAAGAGTATTAGAATAAATCACAATAATAGAGATTTTTAATTGGCACTTTTCTTTTAAAATATCTATATAGTAGATCAGAAATATATTACTCATTTTTTTCTTTAAATATATAAATGGAGTGAGGATCTGATCAACCCACTTATGTCACCAATAATGCAAATGGCAATTCATATAGGCTTATTCACTCTGTGCAACTCATCATGGTATGAAAGGTGAGTCCTTAGGTTCTAAAAGAAAATGCAAGCTCCATCAGATTTTACAGAATATGAAAGGCTTCAGGAATGGTCCCAGCAACAGCTTATGTCTGCTTTTAAAGAACAGCCTAAGCACTGAGAAGCTCATCACTAGTAGAATGATGGCCTTCAAATTTTGGTCATGGCCAGTCATGAAACCCTGAAAAATAAAAAATGGTTCCTATTCCTATGCATCTCCTTATGGCAGTGATGGTGGCACAATGGTGGGAAAACAAGTGGATGGTGCTAAGAAGCATACTTTTTAGACCATCTAAAATATCTTCTTTAAAACATTTTTTAAAAATCTACAATTTCAAGATATATAGTCCAAAAGATTATAACTAAGAAAGAGTCTCCGAACTCAGATTTTGGCACTATTCAGACTGGATAATTTTATTCTAATTTCCCCATCTGTAAATGAAAACAGTGACCTATTTGAAAGGAAAATTATGAGTAAAAATTCCCATACATTAAAATATTTTGAAAATTATACCCCCCCCCGCCCAAGTATATAATGATTACATCTCAATGTGGGTGTATACTGGCTTCCCTTGTGAGTAAGTTTTCTACTCTGACTAGTACCAGCATGCCTATGGAAAAGCAGAATGGATGCTGTCCTATTTCATGTCTGATAAATACATCTGGCAGCAAAAATTCAATTACCACACTGTTGTTACTCATGAGTATATAAGAAGCAGAAAAGGACACAGCTGGGTTTTTCAGAATTATGGCTGAGTTTCCAGGGTAGACAATGATTTGCTGCCCTATAAAATGAGCACATTTCATAATAGGCAGGACCCAGATGACTATTGAACTCCCAAAGTCATCTTGATAACCAGCTTTCAAACTAGAAGAGCATTTTAGAAGCCACAACGTGACCTCTATCAGTTCAGGATACAGTTATTAAGTGATTACAGACATGTCTAATTTATCATCTATTTTGACAGCAAAAGCAAAGGCTGCATTTAAAAAAAAAATTTCCCCCACAGTTCACTGACCACCAGGGGTCACCCTGCCATTATCAAAGAAATATAAGCTCATTTTCGATATTCTTAGATAAAGAATCACAGAATTTCAGAGATAAGAAGAATCTTGGTAGCCATGGAGACCAACCCGTGTCCTAAAAGGAAGCCTCTGCTTGAAGACTTTGGTTGGGGGGCAGGGGGAGGCAGCCTATTCCACATCAGGACAATTCTAATTCTTGGGATGCTTTCCCTCACACCAAGTCTAAATAGACCTCCTTACCATTTCTACCCATTTCTCCTAGTTCTGCATTCAGGCACCCAACAGAACAAGCCTAATCTTTCACCCACATAACTTCTCGTGTACTTGAATACAGCTATGATGTCTGTCTCTCACAAGTCTTGTCTTCTCCACACTAAACATTCTTAGTTCCTTTAATCAATCCTCAGATGAAATGGACTGAAGGACCTTCAAGATAATGGTTGGCCTACTGACAAAAAAGCTCAGGAACATTCAAATTACTGATAACAACTCATCATGGGGAAACCTCAACTTGTATTACCCCATGTGGACTGGGCACAGCTTGCAGAATAATTCTAACCCCACTCTAACCCTAGAACATGTGGAAACCCCCTTATCCTCAGCACATTTTCAGGCCCAAGCCACTTTAGGACAAATTGAATTGTGACCCTGAAATGCCCTGTAGGGCAGGGGTTCTTAATCTAGGGCCCACAGCCCCTTTAGGGAGTCTATGGATAGATTTCGGGATGGGGTATCTGAATTTTTTGAGGGAAAATTCATCTTCATTTCAATATAATTGGTTTCCTTTGTAATCCTATGCATTTTATTTTATAAATTTAGAAACAATATTTTGAGGAGACATCTACAGGTTTCACCGAACTGCCAAAGGTGTCCATAATGCAAAGAAAAAGCCAAGAATCCCTGTTCTAAGGGCAAAGCAAGATTCTTTCACCACTTTGGAAGAGCTATAGAGAATATCAATTCAGTCCTCATTAAACCTCTGGAGAAAACATGCTGCAGTCCTATTCCTGAACTTGACAACTTGTTTGAAATGTTAGGGGAAGGGGAAGAGGAAGGAGGGATGTGTGTAGATAAGCTAGAGTTGGAGATGCAATCATTATGTGCTGACAAGAGGCTTGAGGTCAAAGTTTTTCATCATGTAATCAGTTCTACGACATCTATGCTGTTATCTTCTTTCCTGAGGAAAGAAAAATATACTGAATTTGTTTTTGGCTGAGAACTGTTACACAGCTGCTTCTGAGGTAGACTAATCATGAGTGGGAGAGACAGAAGAGGCATATAATTATATGCCATTAACATTTCCACATGGAATATCTTGCCACTTAATTCAACAGAAAACAAGTTACATATGTTAGGGACTATTTGCATATAAGTTTAAATGAGCTGTAAGCTCAAAGAATCAACAGTGGACACCCCGAGTGCTGTCGTGCCATGTCATGCTACCCGTGACAGCTATAAAAGGAAGCATAATAGCCAGGACCGGAGAACTGATAGTCCCACTATAATTTGCCTGGTCAGATAACATCTGAAAAACTGCGGTCAGTTCTGGGTGTCACATTCTAGGAAAGACATTGATAAAATGTGAGTATCCAAAGAAAGGCAACTAGAATGGTGAAAGGCCTTAAGATCATGCTGTATGAGAATCAAATGAAAGGAAGGATGTTTACCCTGGAGAAGACAAACTTAAGGGGAGAATGTTGCCTTCAAAGATCTAAAGTGTTACTACATAGAAACAGGGATACATGTGTTCTGCTTGGCAAAGAAAAACTTCATAACAATTAGAGGTATCCAACAGTGGAAAGGGCTAGGAGGTAATGGCTCCTTCCTTGCTAGATATTTTCAATCAAAGTCTGGATTGACCACTTGTCAGGTATGGCATAGAGGGGATGTTGGGGGAGAGTGTTACCTATGGAGGGGAGGTGTAGATTAAATGACCTCTGAGTTTCCCATCCAACACTGACAGTCTTTGAGGTTCTTATTTGTGAAAAGACACAACAATCTGTGAAGGAGGTGTCAGGTGACCAACAAGATGAAAGATTAAACATTTTCACTGATCCTCATGATCTCTCAAGTCTCTCCAAAATAGGAATTATGTGTAAGAGCTAAAGCAATTTCAGGTCTTTCCCCAGCCTAGGACACCAAAAATTCAAATAAAGTAAAAAGACAATGAACTAATAACAGAAGAATCCCTAACCCCTAACTCTCTCCCTCAGCCTAATAAATCTCCCAGGGGCAGGGCTTGCATAAGCCAACACCCTCTGCAACCCAAATCACCTCCCTCATTCCTCGTGCCTCAGAGATTCAATAGTATAACTTGCTTAGGCTGCAACAGCATAATAGCAATGCTCTATGCCACAAGAGACTGGAGGAACACAGGGAAAGGACACAAATGTAACACTGCTCTAAGCCTTAGGGAAAGAGACAGGCATCCAGCTGAGGCCAGATCTGATCCTCCAAGAGGCACCTGGGGCAGAGACCAAGGCTGGTGAATTGTGAATTGCCCCGTGTGGGAGGGAACTGAGACACTATGAGATCCATCCCCAAGGGAAACTGCAATCAGAGGGAAGTCAGAATATGAACAATAAGGGAAAAAGGACTGAAATTACCAAAGATCTCAGAATGAAGAAACCTCAGTTAAAGACCTTGTTAAAGATAAACCAACAGGGGAGATATTAGTGGCAGAAGGGAATATGGCCTCCAGGTCAAGTAAAAGAATTTAGACATCAGCAAATAAATATTCAAGAATTTGTGAAGGGACTTGTCCTAATGCAATTTTATTTTCCATAAGTAATTTATTTCAATAGGCTCATGCTAATTTTGTCATCCTTAATGGCACAAAGTGAAGTAAAGAGGGATAGATAATAAATGAAGTTTAGGAGAAAGTAACAAAGAACTCCTAAAATTACATTCTTTCCCTCACTAGTAAGTATCAAAGAAGCCTTATCTCTTTCTGAAGCAGGATCACTATGTTAGAAGAGAGCAACACAGCTTGAAACGAGTTAAACTCAAAAGGCCTCTGTTAGAACATGACTCATTTTATGTGAATTTGGGCAAACTAGGTCAAACCATAAATGACATCATAAAGGGGTTCCACTGTATATAAGGAATTTTGGTTCTAACCTTTGATTTCAATGCCACAGGTAACTCCTCACGTGAAAACCTACAGTAACACAGAATGACAACTCGCCAACAACTTAATGTCTTAGAAAGCTTCTTGGCCTTTGACCCAGAGGTTCCACTGTTAGGCACAGAACCCAAGGAGATCAATGACAAAAAGAAAGGCTCCATATGGGTACACCAAAATATTTATCACAGCATTTTTATAGCAGCAAATAACTACAGGGTAGCTAGCTATTCCTCATCGACTGAGGAACAGCTAAACGGGTTGTAGAAGACGAATATAATGGAATATTAGTATGCTCATATGATGAACGTAGAGAAGCCTAGCAAGACGTCTATAAACTGAAGTAAAGTGAAGTAAGAAGAACTAGAAAAATAAGATACATAATAAGAATAATGTAAATAACCAAACAACTGAAAGTGAATGCTATGGAAATTACAATGACTATGCTTGGTCCCAAAGAAGAGATATGAAAAGACACCTGCCACTCTTCTTTTTAGAGGTGAAGGATTATGACTAGGACACACTATGAATAATATTACACTTTTTTTATATAATGGTTATTTCTCCTTTCTAATTCTTTACCATATGACACAAGTTAGGTGGATACATTGGGAAATGGAGATGATATAAAAACAAAAGCTATCAATTAAGAAACTTGCCTGAGACACTGAGAGGTTAAGTGACTTGCCCATAGCCACATAGCCAGAATGTGACTGAAACAGGGCTTGAACCCAAGTCTTCTTTACTCCAAGGCTGCTGCCTCTCATATAAAGATTTTACTAGAATGAAATAATTTCAAATGTATAGGGAGAAAACTGCCAGCACACATTTATACTTAGATTCAACTCCAGAGTGTCCAATGAATTCATGAGAAATTGTATACTTAACAAAGCTGTACTGAATTGCCAGCTCTGAATGCATTTAAAGATAAGTTATAAAAACTTTTCCAGAGAAGTTATTATATGCATTACCTGTGGAAATTTGACAATAATATGATGGGGAAGGCTCATCACATTGTGAACATAGTCAAATGTTTCTGTTAGTTTCCTTTTGTTTGCAGTTAAAATCTTTGGGATTCTGGTCACCATGTGCTGAATTTCATTACGTTTAAAGCCAAGTTGAAGTTGGTAAACCTAAGAAAACCCAAACATAACAAAAAATAAATTACATACATTTATGGATTAAATAAGAAATGATATCTCAGTCCATAGTGGATCATAAACAAAGCATTTAGAATTTTGTGGCAAGTTATACTGATTCCTTATGGGATAGAAGTTTTCCTTCAGGAGGAAGTTGGTCCTTTGAACCTCTCACCGACAATGATGGGCTGGGCCTAGAGTCAGGCCTGACTCCAGCTCAAATCCAGATTCAGACACTTACTAGTTGTGACCCTGACAAGTCGCTTAACCTTGTCGACTTGAGTTTCCTCAGCTTTGAAGTGGAAATAAAAATAGCACCTACCTCCCAGGGTTGTCTGTGAGGATCAAATGAGGTAACATGTAAAGCACTTTGCAAACCTAAAAGTGCTATAAAGCACTACAGTTGGTGCTGGTAATGGTGGTGATGGTGGCGGTGATGATGATGACGATGGTGAAAAGGGTTAGCGTCATAATTGGGGAGTTCTCATATGTTAAGCTGAGATTTTATTATTTTCTCCTAGAAGCACCATGGAGTCCCTGATGGTTTTAAATAGGGGCAGCGTGAGAGCCATGCTTTAGAAAGATTATTGTGGCAGCTGTGTGTAGGGTGGTTTGGAGAGATTAGAGACTAGAAGCAAGAAAATCAATCAGAAAGAGACTAGGCAAGCAGTGACAAGGCCTAAGCTAGGGTGACACAGGTAGCTGAGTACAGAGAAAGGGAGAGAAGGGACAGACGGTATGAAGAAATGCTAGGACATGGCAACTGATGGACGGGGAGGCAGAGTCAAAAATTATACTGGTATTGAGAATCTGCGTGACTAGGAAGATGCTGTAATAGGAGAGGGAGAGTTTAGGATAAGCTCCATCTTAGATATTCTGAGTTTGAGAAGCCAATGTCCATTCATTTTTTTCAACCAACATTTACTAAGCATCTACTCTTTTCAAGATGTGAGGGATACAGAGACAGAAATAAAAAGTTCACTCCCTCAAAGAGCTTATGTTCTGCAGGGAGAAACAACAAATACTAAAGCTAGGCAGTTAAATCAATTAAAATCACTTTATCCATAGAGCAGCACTGCACCCCCTCCCTGACATGCACGAGAATATATGCATGCATACACACACACACACACACATGCACACACATAACCAGAGCCACAAGGAAATCTGGCTGCTCCACAGGTATACCCACAGGTGGCTGGGGAGTAAGGAGGGAGGAAGGTGGAGTAGTGTTTATGAAATGGACAAAGAAGATAGTGCAGTTATACTAGGGACAAGACCGGCAGTTGGCTCTTGGGGAAAGAGTGGAGTGTTACCAATTTTCTCACCCTCTGACTGGCTGGCTGTAGGGATGTACCACTGCCCACTGGGCTGGGCCTCCACTTTGGAAACTACTGGCTTCTGGGACATTTTAAACTGGATGTTCTAGAACCATCTCAAACTCAACTTGTCTAAAACAGAATTCATTATCTTTCCATCCCTCCCACCCTTCTTCTGTCAAACTTCACTATTTCTGTCAAAGGGCATGTCCCACCATCCTTCCAATCATCCAAGTAAAAACCTGGGTGCCATCTTCAATTCCTCGCTCTCACTCATCCCATCTACCCAAAGGGTAGCCAAATACTGTCATTTCTCCCTTCACAACATCTCTCCCATCTGACTGCTTCTCTTCACTCACACAGTCATTTCCCTGGTTTGGACCTTCATGACCTCTTGGCATGGATTACTGAAAGCGCCCCAATCTATCTTCCACACAGCTGCCGAACTCATTTTTCTAAAGTGCGGTTTCGATCCCCCAGGCTCCTGCACCCATTCAATAAATTCCAGTGGTTCCCTATCAAGAATCAAACAGAAATTCCCCTGTTCGACATATAAAGCCCTATACAACCTGGGTCTGACCTACCTTTCCAGGTTCATTATACCCTACTCCTCTTCACATACACGTAACAGTTCAGCCAAACTGGCCTTGTCTCTCACATGCAACACTTCATCTCCCACATCCATGTCTTTGCATTTACTTTCTCCCATGCCCAGAATACAATCACTTCTTATGCCCCTCCCCACCTCTCACTCCCTCTTAGAGTCCCTAGTTTCCTTGAAGGCTCAGATCAGCTATATGGAGCAGTGAACACTATACTGCTGGATTGCTGTGAGATCAAATGAGATAATACTTGTAAATCACTCTGCAAACCATAAATTGTTATTATCTTTTAAAAACTTTTATCTATTTTATTTTAAATTTATGGAATAAGTATTTCTATAATAAAATACTTTTATATAATAAAATATGATAAATAATAAAATTATATAATAAAATGATTGCACATGAAACTTCAAATCTGTTATGTACAACTTGCTATTCCTTTTAAATATATAATAAAGTCATCATGTAAATTTATTTTTTCTTTTTTTCTTCCCTCTCCTACTCCAGAGATGGCTACCCTAAGAAACAAATATGCATATGTATGTAAAATCATTCTATACATACTTCTATTTATCAGTTCCTTCTCTGGATACAGATAGCATCCTTTATACGTCCTTTGTAGCTAATGTGGGTATTTATAATAGTCAAAATGACTTATTTGCTCAAAGTTGTTCTTAAAGCAATATTACTGTTACTGTTTACAACGTTCTTTTGGTTTTGCTCATTTCGCTCTTCATTGTTATTATCTTACATGAAGTTTTTCCTGAGCTCCCAAGCTGCTGATGCCCTTCTCTCTAAATTACCTTTTATCTATTTTGTATATGCCTATATGTGTACATTTTGCTTGCTCTAGCTAAAATTCCTAGAAGACAAGGAGTGTTTCACAGTGATTTTTAAAAAATATCCCCAGTACAAAGCACAATGCTTGGCACCAGAAGATGCTTAATAAACACTTCTTGAGTGACTGATTGGTTGGTTGACAAAATGCTGGAAGTCACCAAGAATAGGGGAATGAATGGTTGAAGTGGTGAGGAAGGCTGTGAGCCAGGGATTCATCTCCTTGAGAAAGGATGGAGCAACCTGGATGCCTGCAGACTACCACAGCAAAGATCTGAATGGGATGATATAAACTGATGAAATGAACCTCAAAGGAGAAAAGACTGCTGAGTTGGTGGCAAATAAAGGGCATCTTAGTAGCAGTCAAGATCAAAGAGTATGCTGACTTTTCCTCCAATCCATTGTGTCTCAAGACATAAGAGAAGCAGTAGTTAATCTTGTAGAGAGTGCTAGGGATGAGATGTGTGACAAAGAAATCCAGATTTCTTGGAGTGTCAGAACAGAGTCTCCTACTCATTCTTCTCCAGGCTGCATTCTGGACTTCATTTACCGTGCCACAGCTCTTCATCCAGAAGCCACTCTCCAGTCCTGGAATCCACACATTGGAAGCACCCTCAACCCTTATGGCCTCTCCCTCCAACTGGATGGCTCTTTCTAGAACCTCCATTTAAGGAGGGCTCCCAGATGCTGAGAGCACCCTGAGATTAGAGGTCTAGATGAAACCAAAGCTATCCTTGCAGAAATACTTTTCCAGAAGCTACAGTTACTTTGAAAAGATAAAGTCTCAAAACTCTACTTGTCTTAGAGGAGACTACAGGCAAATTGTTAATCCTTTAAAAGAAAATAATTTAAGGCAAAGATTGACTTATTTGAAAAAATATATCCTTACCTTCATATTTTCCTTCACAGGCTCAAGACTTCCAGTTAATAGTCGTGGAAGACGAATAACTAGATCTCTGGTCTAAAAAAACAAAATAATCCATTATCACAATACATAAAATTCAGTCAGTTTTAGAAATCCATCATTTATTCTAGCATGAACAAAGACATGTTAAACTATTAAAATTCTTACAAACTTAATACACTTTATAGAAAAATAATCTAGTAAGAAAACTACGGAAGAGAAAAGCATTTATTAAGCATTTACTGTGCGAGCACAGTGCCAAGCAGTAGGGATACAAACAGAAAATCAAAACACACCCTGTTCTTGAGGAGCTCACATTCTACCCAGGAAAGCACACATAAAGGAGGAATTGTTTTTATGTTCAGTTCATGGCAGTAGTACTGAGGAAGGGAAATAGATGGGCAAGGTCCAAAGATGGTATTGTGTTCCCCCTCACTGGAAGTCTTCAAGCAAGCGCTAGGAGATCATTTGTTGGTTATATTGTAGAAGAGGTTGTTGTTTGGATAAAGGTGAAATAGTTGTCCCCTTCTGTCTCTTCCAACTCTGAGTGTGATTCATTTGGAAACTAGCCTTGGTGTTTAAACCCGATATACATATATCCATTCTGATACGATTATAATCAGCAATTATTTTGGGTTTAACTTTTTTACCTGACATTATATACACATTTCTAAGCATCAGCATAATTTAGATACTTATCATTTTTGATAGCTATATGGCATTCAGTGGTGAAAAGAGATCACAGCTTGCTTAGCCATTTTTTCTATTGCTGAGTACTAGGACAGTATCAAATGTTTTGCTATTATTGAATATGCACTTCGTACATACAAATATTATTACGAAAATTTTTCCCCTTGGACCTCAGTAACAATTTGAAATGTGTTTTAATTATCCTATCTGTGAGAAATTTAGAGAGATTCCAATATAAAGGCCAAGATATATCTATATCTACACACACACAGTCTGTTCTGCCAAACTGACTTTTAAATTTTGTCTACATGCATACTTATTTCTTAAAAAAATTAATCTCTGTATCATGGCTTTACACTTCTAGGAGGCATTTTACTCAAATGAACATGTGAGTAAAGTAGTTGATATTTCCGAGGCAAGAATCAAATGATTCTCTGAGTCTACAAATGTTACTAGAGCCATAACAGGTTCTTATACATATTGATATGAACATTTAAATATTTTTCCCCTTTACCTTTTGCACATTCAGTCCAAGTTCTTTCTGGAAAAAGCCCAATCTGTTATCCAGTCTATCCACTGGAAAACTCAACAAATATGGTGCATTTACAATCATCCGTGAGATGTCTGTCTTACTGAACTTTTTTGATTCAAGGTAAGCCACCCTAGGTGATAAATACACATGTAAACATATTTATGTATGCATGCATCAGAGAGAGAAAATTTACTGTTAGTATACTGGTTTCATTTAATTATTTAGCATGTAGTAATAAACATTTATTGAATGAACAGAATGAATGAGTATAACAAAGTGACAGCTATTTTAATGTTAGCCAAAATAAAAACAAAACAAAACAAAAACACTGGCCTAATTCTACAAGTACCACAATAACACCGCAATGAAGATAAAAAAGTCCCGAGTTTTTTTGGCTCTATTCATTTTATTTTTTTCCTCATTACTAATTTAAAAAAAGTAAAATGGATTATCACTGTAACTATCATCTACACAAAGGAACACTATGTCACTAAGATAAAAGGTTTGTTATTCATTCTTTATCTTTGTTATCTGCATTGGTATTTCTTTCTTCAAAAGTCATTTAGAATTTCTTCTACAAAGACAGATCTTGTGCTCAGTTGTTATTGGAAGGAAAAAAATATGGTCAGCATTTTAGTATTAACTAGGCATTTTTTACAAGCCTTTTAACATTTTGGCCACAATTTAAAAAGGAAAAAACAATTGTACTATCAAACCAGGAAAATAATTATCTGCAAATTTTTTGGTCAAGATCACAGTCATATTTATCTCCATGTTGTGACCATAAGTAGCATGACTGGTTCTTTATTAAACACACCAGAAGATATAAAATACAAATGAATACTGTTACTTTCAAAGTAGTCACTTGGACATTTACCACCAAAATAACGCTGTTGCTCAAAAGCTGTTGTTATTGTTGTTTTAAATCCTTCTTTTAGTATTTGTCTTTAGTGCCAGTTTACAAATAACAAAAGATAATCACTTATAACTCATTTTTGATCAGTGATGAGTCTGAATTCAGACCTATTTCCCTTTTTTTTTTTTTTAAAGTGAGGCAATTGGGGTTAAGTGACTCGCCCAACATCACACTACTAGTACGTGTCACGTGTTTGGTCTGAGGCCACATTTGAACTCAGGTCCTCCTGACTTCAGGGCCGGTGCTCTATCCACTGTGCCACCTAGCTGCCCCTATACCTATTTTCTCTCTCTTTTGGGGGGGGGGGGGTGTTAGGCAATGGGGTTAAGTGACTTGCCCAGGGTCACACAGCTAGTAAGGGTCAAGTGTCTGAGGCCAGATTTGAACTCAGGTCCTCCTGACTCCAGGACTGGTGCTCTATCCACTGTGCCACCTAGCTGCCCTTTCAGACTTATTTCCAAACAAATCATGGGGACTCAGAATTGGAAGGGACTTCAGGGGTCAACTAGTCCAGTCCTACCTTCTACTGGCCAAGAATCTCCTCTACAACAGAACAAGAAGCTGTGTAGCCTTTGCTTCAAGCAATTATCTTCAAGAGGCAGAGCCTGCTTCTATGAGAAGGCCCATTCCACTTTTGCACAGCTCTAGTTGCTGGTAAGTTCTTCCTTACAAAGAACCTAAATTGGACACCTGGGTGTTTCAAAGTCAAATCGAAAGCACCAGAATAAAGATGTCATCAATTAGGTTATTTGAAAGGCTAATACAGGTTCCGAAGGCAGTTTCCAAAGTGTTTTGAACAATGGCAATATATTGAACAATGGCAAAATAAGCTTGCATCTTCCAAAAGTGACTAAATTTGTGGGGCAAAAATATTAAGTTCATTTAAAAAAAAAAAGGTCCATGAAATACAGTATTGGTTAAAAAGAGAAAAAAATGATCAATGGATTAGAAATTCCAGAAATAGACTCAAATTTCCAAGATATCGTTTACATTACACTTTACTATCTCATTACAGCTTCATGATAAACCTTTAAGGTAGGTTCTACAAATAGTATCCTAATTTTATACCTAACAAGACAAAAGTTGAGAGCAGTTAAAATGACTTGCCAAAAGCCACATGGAGAAAAAGGGCAGTGCCAGGCCTCAGTTCTGATTCTTCTCTTTAGCTCAAGTTCTTGCCACTACGGCTATTTTGCCTCTTGTTACAAGAACTTATCATATGAGAAGTCAGAAGTTAATGAAAAAAGTAAGGAATGACTATTCACTAAAATACTGATATGACACTGAGATACCAGTACAGAGGATCAGCTTGAATCCAAAATGAAACCAAATCAGTATAACATACTGATACCAGGAATAGAAGGGAAATAAATTTCTGACTACTAAAAAGAGAAGACTGACTTGTCACTACTCCTCAGACAAGATAAATATGTTTGAAGCCATAAGTTATGTTTTTGCTCATATAATGTGTATTAAATTATTAAAAGCAAAGTAACAGCTTAGGAAGAGATACATGCTAAAAATACTAGCAGATAAAGCTTCTATCCAAATACATGAAGAAGAGATACAAATATAATTTTTTTAAAATGGGTACCCAGTTTTCATCGGGTAAGTGACCAAAAGAGATCAACAGACACATGAAGAAATAAAATAGTAAATCATTGCATGGGGGAAAAAAATGACAAGATTCATTACTACAGAAAGTAACACAAAGTCATATGACTTTAAGGTTTTTTATAGATATATATATATATATATATACACACACACATATATGTATCTACACACATCTCTACATATTTATACACATGCACATATATATCTCTACACAAATATGTAGATATGTGTGTATATATACACATACATACACTGTCAACAGGCAATCACAACCTCATGAAACTTATGTGAAAACTAGGTTTATTACAAGAGAAATGAACATGCATGTGCAACCCAAAGAGTTCAGACCCATACAAAAGTTTGCATTTTTATAACAGCAGGGCAAAGGAAGGAGGAGGTAACAGGAATCTCCACCCAAAGGGGCAAGGCACAGAAGGGGGAAAGGTAGGAAAAGAATAAAATCCCTCCAAAGGGGAGGAGCAAGGCAATGGCAAAAGCCACATTCTTTTCCCTTGGGAACTGCTAGACCAGGGCTTCTTAAACTTTTTCTACTTGACCCCTTCAGTAATTCTCAAACCCCATAAAGGGTCGCAACCCACAGTTTAAGAAGCCTGCACTAGACCATGAAGATAGAATGGTTTGCTTATCTACAAGGGTCCCAGCTGCACAAGCCTAGTGCAGACTGTCTAGCACCTATTTTGACTCCCAAGAACACACAGGGAGTCAAAGCTTGGGATGCAAATAACACATCAAGTCAGCTCTACTGGGGCTGGGGTGGGTGTAGTGCTTTGTCCTTGACACATTCAGGGCCTCCTGCATACTCTGAGTCCAGTGTTTATGGAAAATATGGCAACTCAAAAAGACAGTCCTTAATAATACATATGTACATACACACATGTACAAATTAACAAAAATTTTAAATGATAAAAAAAAAAACAGCTGGCAGAGTTGGTGGTGAAACAAGTATATTTATATTGTGTGGAATAACTATACACTGTTCAATCTTTTAAGAAAGTAATCAAGCACTAAATATAACAACAAAAAAAAAACCTGTTCTATTTTTTTTTAGAGGATGTTAGCTTCAAGGAAATAATCCAAAAGGTAGAAAAAAAGTTATTTGTACACAGATGTTTCTACATTGTGAAGACTAAATAAACCATGGTATATATTAACAAAATGGAATACCATGCCATTATGAATATGAAAAGTGAAGCATGCAGACTAAGTCAATACATGGAAATGTGTTTATAACATTATTTTACACAAAATGCAGACAAAATAGTATGCAAACAGTTTATACACAAAGATAATTTTGAGTAGCAAAGTTTATTATGTTTTTCTGCACAATTAATTTCATAAGAATAACAACTCTTGTGGCTCAATTTTCTCACTTGTATAGTGAGAATAATATGTGGACCACTAACCTCATATAGTTGTTCTTTGAAAAGTGTTTTTTATCATTATTACTTACAATTTATATATCACAATTGCAGAGTCACATCTCATGCATATCTCAATTTTATTTTTTTTTTTTGTGAGGCAATGGGGGTTAAATGACTTGCCCAGATTCACACAGCTCGTGGGTGTTATGTGTCTGAGTCCATATTTGAACTCGGGTCCTCCTGACTCCAGGGCTGGTGCTCTATCCACTGTGCCACCTAGCTGTCCCACATATCTCAATTTTAAAAAGCAAGACTTTCTGTTTTCACTTTTTATTTGTAATAAGCCATACATTTGGAAACATGCTTTGAACAGATTTCAGTCTCCTCCATCCCTTGGCAATTACAGCAAGGCTAATATAAGGCTTTAAAATAATTTTTTCTACATTAAATCTAAACAATTTAACATTAGTACATTTGAAACAGATTATCTTAAAGGAAACTTTTGCCATCAAGTGCACTGTTTTCTAGAAACAAGAACAAAGAAGAACCAGTTGTTTTCTACCAAAGGTGAGAGGGAAAAGGGTAATTTGTTATTCAGATTTCTCTCCTTTACATAGTATCTAACATTTTTCTAAAGACAAATGTTAATAGATAACAAATTGGCATAAATCATATTATAAATAAGCAATATGCCTGACAAAACTATTAGCACTGAATCTAATACCAATAAGGATAACAAAATCTATCAGCCTCTACATTAAAAGACTGAAAGGCTTGGAACATTGTATTTCAAAGAGCAAAGGAGCTAGGTTTGCAACCAAGAATAGTTTACCCAGCAAAGCTGAGTATAATCCCAAATTGAAAAAAAAAAGATTATTTAATAAATTGAAAGACTTTCAGTTATTTGTGACAAAAAGACCAAAACTCAATAGAAAATCTGACATATAAGATACAGGAGAAACATAAGGTAAACATTAAAGATCAATTACAAGAGATTCAATAAAATCAAACAGTTTACTTCTCATATGGGAAAATAGTATCTGTACTCTTAAAAGTGTTATTATTTGGGTAGTTTGAAAGAGCATACATAGACAGCAGACTTAGGGTTGAGGTGAATATGACGGAATGATTCTAAAAAATGAAATTGGGTAGGGAGAGGTAAAATGGAGCAATTACCTCAGAGAAAGAAGGCATAAACTATTACAGTGGAAGCAG